ATTTAAGTACTAGAGGCCTGGTGCACAAAAATTTGTGCACTTGGGGCGGTCCCTCAGCCTGGCCTGTGCCCTCTCGCAGTCCGGGACCCCTCGGGGGATGTTTACCTGCCAGCTTAGGCCCGCTCCCTGGCCTAAGCTGCAGTCAGACAGCCTTAGCACTGCCGAGGAGGCAGGACAGGCTCTCGCCACTGCACTGACCACCAGGGGGCAGCTCCTGCATTGAGCGTCTGCCCCCTGGTGATCAGTGCACATCATAGCGACTGATCTTTCCGCCGTTAGGGTCAATTTGCATGTTACCCTTTTATTATATAGGATACACCTTACTCATTCAAAAAAAGATGTTGAAGACTGCTTACCATTCTGGCTCCTCCTCTAGCCACTTGCACATGGATTTGTGCTACCTTCCAGCTCCCCTGAAATCCTTGCCATTTCCTCTCTGGGCCATGTCGGGGGGAGGGGGGGATGTGGTCCTCAGCTTCCAGATGCCTGGGCCCACCCCCATTCTCTCCAGGGGCAGTTTATGTCTTTCCACAACATTTCCCCCACTCATCTCTGAGTTCTGTGAAGGGCGGGGGCTAGTTCTTGTTCACCACCAGGCCCAGCTCAGTCTCTGCACTAAACAAAACCATTTGTTGGGTGAATGAAGTTGTAAGATTTCCAAAGTGGAAGATGTGGAATCTGAATGTCCATTTATTGTCCATTGCCCAAAATGAGTGTGGCATAGCCATGCATTGGACGTAGACTATGTTTTATAGGTGATTCATTTTTGCCCAGTTTTACAAACGAAATCCCCAAGAGTATTACATGAAGCAAAACTTAATTGCTTCAAAAAAAGTCAAAAGTCACTTTGCTAAAATAGTCAAAAGTATAGAGTTAGCACCAAATTCTCTTTTTGTTTTTTAATATCTTCCCTTCCAAAGTGTGCTCTCTCTCTCTCGCTCTCTCTCTGTACCTTTGGCACATTGCCTTCTGTGTGCCCAGGGCACTTTTCCTTTATTTGGAAGGCAAGCATTTCATGTGGCACAGCATTTCTGCGCTGGCCTGAAGTATGCAGAACCAAAACACCACCCATCTGGACACAGCCCATTAAGAACAAACCAAAAACGTGAGTCTGTCCCGACCTTTTTTTGCCAACGCCAGCGCAGCATCGCCTCATGGTACCTTATTCTGGAAAATGTGACCTGTAAGAAAGTTTAAAGAGCATTCTGTGTATTTTTTGTTTTTAAATAGATTGTTATTGATTTCAGAGACGAAGGGAGAGGGGGTGTGAAAGAGAACCATCAACGATGAGAGCGATTCACTGATCGGCTGTCTCCTGCACACCCCCCCACTGGGGTTGGAGCCCGCAACCTGGGCATGTGCCCTTGACCGGAATCGAATCTGGGACCCTTCAGTCCGTAGGCCGGTGCTCTATCTACTGAGCCACACCAAGTAGGGCTGTGTAATTCTTTAATGGCTGAACAGAAGCTTAAAGTGAGGCAAAGTCTTACATTCAGACCTTACCATGGTGTAGAGGGGGATGAAGGTTGATGGCATGATCGCGTGAAGAAATCGCTCCACGTTCTTCTGGAAGATGAACCATCTTGAGTTGACATGTGCTCGCATCTGCAATAACGCAAGAGTTCTAAAGAATACCTCGAACCATGCACCCTAACTCCTACGACTTCCTACTCTCTCCATCTTCATCACAAAGCCAGACACAAAGCAGTCAAATCAATTCTTGTTTCCCAACCCCATTTAGTCATTCTCAACAGGGCAGGGAGGACATGACCTTCAAGAGATCGAGCATTGGGATAAGGACACATATGTAATAACTTAATCAATAAAGAGATTTTTTTTTAAAAAAGAGGTCGAGCGTTGACACCAACCTGTTGGAGAACTCCGTTTTGCTCAGGGGTCAATATGGGAACTGTGGAGTTTGTTCAACTGCATCTGTTGGGTAATCTGGGAGCCCGGTGATTTGACTAATTTCTGTTGCTTCCTGGTTGGTTTGGAATATTGTTGATGGTAGAAAGTGATAAGATTGATCCTACTCTATATTCAGGACAAATACTGGGTTGTGGCTGTCTGGTTTTGAAAGACACAGGGAAGATATTCATGGGCCTTTGGGTATTTTTGTAGAACTTCCTTCATTGCAGAGGAAACCACTCTGCTCAAGGCGGAGGCCACGTGACTACTTCCTGGCTTAGGAAGCCAGGGGAAAGCAGCTACACTCTCTTTACATTTGTCTTGTAAATTTTTTCATTGGATTATTTTTAAACTAGAACCACAACCAATGGTTGTGAGCTCTTCATGTGATTGACTCAAAATGGAATTACATTTTCCTTCAGATGATTCATCTTCTGACCATGAATTGTTTTGGTGTTGCTTTTTTTTTTTTTTGAAGGGCATAATAGCCCCAAGGGTATTCAATGCTACCCTAAGGGTGAAGATTATAAGGCTAAGAGTGGAAAGGCGATTTCTTAGATTTTCAAACATATTAACACATATCAAAGTCCTATGTTCATGAAAATAGCATGTTACGAACTCTAGTAAACGTCTAAGGTTTGAGCTTGTTTGAATGATCCGAGTTTGAACTGGCATTTGGTATTTTATCATCTTCGTTGCCTCCTAAATGTCACTGAAGCATAGATGGAGATGAGGGGCAGGGATGATATCACCGTGTACATAGTCACAAACCACCGATGTGTAAGGAAAGCTGTGTGTGTGTGTGTATTCTTTTGCTACCTATTTTTTAAATTATTTACAGTATTACAGATGTCTCCCATATTTTCCCCTTTCGCCCCCTTCCACCCAACCCCTGCCCCACCCCAGGCCTTCCCCATACTATTGTCTGTGTCCATGGGTTATGCATATATGTTCTTTGGTTAATCTCTCCCTGTCCCGTCCAACCCCAGACCCCACTGAGGTCTGTTATTCTGTCCCATGCACCCATACCTCTGGTTCTATTTTCTTTATCCGCAAATTTTTAGTAAAAGCTTGTTAGAGTGTCAGCGAATGACCTCATAGAATAGAGCCAGACTCTCTCACTCACCTCCACGTAATTGTACATGGACAGGTCTGAAACCGCATGGTCATCTGGAATTCTAAATCTTGAGAA